CAGAGAGGTCAATATGGTATGTACAGGTGTACAATCGTGCAAATACAGAACTCAATGGATCGGGTACAGGTATCAAAAGTTGGCTGCTTGGAGGCAAGATGTTGTCCACCAGGCTGAATCACCCCCACCTGCGGTACCCGGTACATGTTCTTCCCATGAGTCGAATTCTTCAGGGTGCATGTGGGCCTTGTTGCTTGTGCAAACCACCAATGTCACAATGGCTAAACTCTGTTCAAGCATTCAAGACATTGGCCAACAATATGGCTAGATGTCATTCATAAATATTATGTCGGTCTTCTGTTTCAGCACTTTCACAGCACTCATCCCAAAGGCCTTTCGATATCCTCCGATGCTCTTCGACCTTCCATTTCAAAAATGGACCCCGTCCCGAACCTCACCGAGATCGATTGTTCTTCACACCGAAAAAACCACCGGCGAGGCGCTGTAGAAAGGAGGCCGTGACCTCAATCTGAGATCCAAGAAGCCCTGCCTGACAGAAGCTCCCAGTGAATCGACTGTCATCGGCCACAATGTTCAGCAGTAAAACACAACTTCGCGGTGCGAAAGTGCATGTGCAAAAGCCCGCGGCACAGAAGTCAATGACAGGCCTCCTGAAAACTAACATAGACTTCACAACATTACGCAATATGTGGTTCTATTGAGATCTATGGATCTAGTGTCTGAATGTTTATTAAACAAAAAATAGATTGTTTATGCCAAAGAGAAGACCATACTCAACTTCATCTTCGCACTCGGCCCCCAACCTCGGAGAAGAGATGAGCCGCAGCCTTGAGACATAGCCCGGGCCGGCTCTTGTCCTGAGGGCTGGGGCGGCTGGGGCTCAGTGGTTCAGACCCTGTCTGCATCCGAGTCACAGTCTTCGGATCCACGTCTCGTCTGGTGGATCAATGTCTCACCTGTTGATTCTCCGGTTTTCCGCCAAACATTTGTGGGATACTCGGCCGCCAAGGCTTGGCTGTCTGAAGAATCTAGACAAACCAAACCAGCAGCAGCTCAACCCCCCAGATGTTTCTTCAGCTCAACATGACAACCCACATCTGTTATCACCTGCAATCAAGTCAAAACCAGTTTTTGACCTCATACTCAGCTCAATGCGTCCAATCCGAACCAAGACCCCACCCCTATCGCTCCGCCGATCCAAACGGCCGTGCGTCTCCCACCATGGTGTGGGTCTTCCCAGTGCTGGTCTGGCCATAGGCCATGAGGGCACCATTGAGACCCCAAAGGACACCATCCACGGTCTCGCGGCCCGCGACTTGGAAGCAATCCTGGCGCTCACATCGCTCGGTGGAGTTCCTTTCGCTCGGTCCATGAGAAGAATCGCTCTCTTTTTGCCGGCGTTTCGCTTAGTATTGTTTTGGGAGCAAAAAAAAGCGCAGACTCACGTTGCGGATGAACTCTCTAACTCACTCTATGTATATATATACAGCATTATACAGCTTGATTAATTCTTGGATCTTTAAACGAAAACTCACCCCCTTGATGAAATAAGGAACCACCCAGCAAGTGATCCTTTTGCCATGGGCCATGGGTGACTTGTCACACCCAGCGTTACTCCCATGACCCGTATGTCCGATAGCCTTGAAAGGCAACTAGTAGATGCCAGTGGACGATGTGAACCACCACTCTCGCAGGGTGCGGGGAGCAACAGTCTATGTCATAACTGGGTTCTTGAGAGATATTGGACGATGTTAGGCAAAGCATGTCTATTTGTAGTTGGGAAACTGCTAGGTGTGGATCAAAACTACGTGGCCACAAAAACACGTGTTGATCATCACTGCCGCCCTCCAATTGATGGTGTCATCGTTGTTTCAAACCTACGTGCCACGCCGTTGTTTCAGGAGCTAATGCAGTGATCTTGTGGCATGGGTTTTACACTCTGCTCTCTAGAAAGGAACCTTGACCGACTCTCGGTTGTGGGACATGACTTGATGAATTCAGACATCATGTTGTTGGGTCATGGAGATGGATTGATTTCGTTCAAGAGCCCCTGCATCCTCACCCCTTTTGACTCTAGAGTCTAGAACTTCCCCACCCAGCTCCTCCTGACTGGAGTCTTGGTCCAGCAGCCCATCGAAGCCAGGATACACCTCTCGTGTTCACGGGTCTCTGACCGATTCGGTCGTCATTCGGTTCTGGCGCATGCTTTGTGGACCCTTTGAGGGATGGTTTTGGGATGGTCTTGTAGACCTGTGTGTTTGGTCGTTTCAAGCACAGTCGTTGCTTCCCCCGAGTTCCTACGATCAAAAACACTTCTCACCAACCACTGTCGCATTGCGATTATTGTCTATTCGTGTCCCCTTTCCCCGAAGTGCGGGGCCAACCTCCTTCGAAACCTATTGGCCTATTGGTCTAGGTCAAAACTTCACAGGTTTGGGTCGACTGGCCATGTCGTCCGTGGCGTTTTGACCTTTGGCACAAGCACGTGCATCACCTCCCTCCAGCGCCGCCTTGACGCCTTCAGGCGGCGGGTCATCCTTGCTGCCGATGAGAACAGGCTTATCCTCTGTGCCTGGGATTTGCTGTGAATATGCTCATGGCATTGGACAGAGCAAAAACTCCTCCACCATGACTTCCCCAAAGATCAAAAATCGTCAAGAATCCTCGTGTGTGTTGGTTTGTTTTTAAATCAATCTCAAGGCGCTAATGTAGACACGCTCATGGGCCATGGCGATGCAACCATGGTAGCAGCCTGGGCGTGGCCGTCAAAGGTTTCCAGTGCCCAAACGGACCAGAGCTCAGGTGTGCACCCTTACTGTCACGAGTCACAACTCTCGCAAACGACTCAAGGACAATAGGGAGAGAGTAGCATGTGAGTTTCCTCGCTGTTTTGGGCTTACTGGAATTGATCGTCTGCTCTTCCGCAAAGGAAATAACTAGATTTGGCATCCCTGAAAAGTCTTCATTCTCAGCCAGCCCCCAGCAGCTCGTTCTCTTGATTCTCTGGGTCTTTGCCAACATGATCCGACAAAATCCATTGGAACCACTGCCAAGGCGCCATTCTCCACCTCCCGCTCTAAAACTGGCCGCACCCGGACCTTGCCATCCAGATTGACGTCGAGAATTCCATAGGTACTCTGAATACCACCAGAACAAAGGGAGTTTCCGGAGCTCCTGGTCAAACCCATCTTTGCTAAAGAACGCTTGAGCAAGTTCACTCCCACTCTTCTCAAACCCATATGTAGATCATTCGTTTCCAACATGCTGAGGTGTGCTGTTTCATTTGCTTCAGTTCATGTCACTGATCCTGCAACTCAACTTTACAGAGTTGCAAGCTGTCAGGTGAAAAAACGAGCAAAGCACTTCGGTCAATGCGATGTGCTTTAGTCACTGCTAGTCCCATCTGCCAACCATTTTTGCTTGACTGAACGTGTTCCGTTCGCTCCATCGGCCGTCCGTCCGAGTTTGTAAACTCGCACCGATCGAAGCACACGCGTAGACTCTCGTACATCTCATAGACTATAACCTGCGTGAGCCTAGGCCACTTGAGGTTTCTGTTCCTATCTTCAGGACTATGTATTTAGGACTTTCATTTGGAGATAGTCATGGACAAACGATTTGGAGATCCTATGATCTGTGTGTCCATGTGTCAAACCACAGACCATGTCTTTCTGGCAACAGGCACAATTTCCTGCCAGACTCCGCTTTCCTTTGCACAGTAGTTCATCCTGTCGACTTCACCCATGAATCCTTTGTTTCCCCCGTGATCCCATGTGTAGAGAAATGAGAGTCATTAATAAACCACCAGAACCTGGTCCCAACGAACCCCCCCAAAAAAAAAGAAACACAACCCATGTCTGGCCGCAGCATGGCCTGGCCGCTGGCCCAGCTCTCTCTGCATTCACCCAAAACCCCTCATCCAGGAGCCCCTAGTAGCTTCTTGTTCCTAGTAGATGCCAAGACGCCCCTACCAAAACCCCGAGCCGAGCAGCGCAGACTTTCACCGGGCGCTTCAGCCCTTTGGGCGCCGGCGCCGAGGAGGCCCGGACGCGCGACATGGCGGTCGAGGTCAGCGAGGAGAGCGGGTCAGGTCGAGCTGCGAGGGTGACGCGAGTGACGCGAGCTGCGGGGAGAGTGAGGGGATGCGAAGTCTGAGGGGCTTCGGTTTTGGGGGTGTTTGAGACCCCCCAAACATGGCCGTGCTGGGCTTCGCTTAAACTTGATTCAAGGCCTAAAGATCAAAGAAAAGTTCAAAACTCAGTTTTAAGATGTTTTAAGGGCTGCAAGTGTCTACACTGACTTCTGATGCAGAAGCTGAGGGTTGGACTTGGGCTCTGACAGTCAAATGCCTTGATTGTGCCTTCCTAAACTCTTCGGATAGACTTGCAACGAATGCAGGATGCTTCCAATCGAACTTCCACAAGATGATTGGCTCTCCTGTAGTCTTCAAAAAGAGAACCTACAAATAGATCAAGACATGTCAACCGGTAGACTCCCTTTTTCCTGCCAGCTCTTCGGGTCGCTCTTCGGGGAATCGCTCCTTTGGCGCTCCGCAGTTGGGCGTGCCCGCAGCGCCGGCATCCTGCAGGGTGTGAGGTGTGAAAGGTCCGAGAAACTTGGAGTGCCCTCTGATGCTCATGTCATGTAGGTAACCCCGAATTTGAAAGAGGCTGTATATATATATATATAACTATATACATGCTTTTACAAGCCATGCCTCTTCTTTCTGATTCGATCCAACACAGTGAATTCAAACCGATTGCCACAGGACGATGGGCGTATGAAGACATCCGGGAGACCAAAAACATCTCGCCCCAATGGCTTAGTTTTGGGTCGAAACCCGAAGTGTCGGGGTCGGAACGCCGGCGTTTCGGTCTCGTTCAGCTACACCCAACACCTCGTCATCTTCATCCAAGTACACCGGAGCGGTGGCCGGTATATGGAGATCGGATTACGCTGGAGATCCTTCGACCGTCAAGTTGAAGGCTTCGTCGGAAACAAGGGGATAGTGATGGGATCTCCCCCCATGGCTCGATGACTGACGAACCTTTGTGAGTGAAACATGGAAGAACCAGCGGCTCGATCCCCCAGAGCAGCCCCTTCCTTCCCCATGCCTGACCCGCCCTGCCCTTCTCGTTGAAAACCGATCCCTTGGTCCTCATTGAGCAGCCTCTTTGGCCGCCTCTTCGGCCTTGGCTGCGGCCTCTTTGGCCGCCTCTTCGGCCAGCTTCTTCCGGTGCGCTTTGGTCATGTCCTCCACACGGACCGAACGATACTGAGGAGGATGGATGCCGGACGAGGTTCGAAATGGGGGGAAACAGGCCATGGAACGGTTGGGCCAACAGCCCTCCTTGCTTCATTGGCTCAGTATATGGTTTGGGGCCCGGAAGACACTCTTGGCTCCCACTACAAAAGCCGGCTTGAATTCCCTTCTGCATGGGGTGAAACCAATCAGTTCCATTTTCCCCACGGATGAATACTGATGCCGACGAAGGGTTGTTCATGCCATGAAGATGCTCAGATTTCGGCAGTGATACCCTCAGCCAAGGAGATTCATCTAGTCTCCCGTGCTTTCCTGCTACCTGGAAATTTTGAGACACAATACTTCTTGAATGAACTCAAGAACCAGTCACGTGTGTTCATAATTTAGTTCTCACCCGCAACAAGGTCAGTTTCGGTTGTGAGACTAAAGAAAGCACCTGAACATATCTGAACAGTGACCCACTGCGAAGAATTCTTGGCAAACAAAGCCTAAGCGGCGCAAGCTCAGAACTGCTTCGGCCAAGTTTCTCTGACAGCCAGTTGGAAGCGTTCATCATCATCCTGTAGTTGTAGCTGGAGTGTGGAAACCCGTGAGAAAGGCACCGCTGATCTATCGGGAAAAGGATGAAGATTACAGGAATGTGTTGCCTCACTTAACGGAAAGGATTGAGTCTTGTTGAGATATCTTCAGTAACTCGAGAAAGTTGAGACTTGATATCTGATAGTCCGAGGTGTGAGTTTCTCTGACAACCAGGCCTTAGAGGCAAAATCGGTGGAGAGATTGTATTTTCATAGGCCAACAATCTTTAAACATCAAATACTAGAGCACAAAAGACATGGTGGCAAAAAAGGCTTGATGGGCTCCGAAAAATTCAATGGACAAAGGGTGGCTGAGGCATCTTGGGTGATCATTCCTTGAAACACCAAACATCAAGCTTTGTATGACATCCTCAAATCCTCCAAATTGATGAAAGCCCTTGAACACTTGGAACCAGATATATACCTTATCTGTGTAAAGGAACTGTCTACAACTACAACCCAAAAAGCAAGGGACTTGCGATAGATCCCTTCCATACCACGATTGGAAGATCCCATGTAGCCCCAAGTTTGGAGGGCCCTACAAAAAGAAGATCTCAACACTCAGCTTTTTCACTCTCAGCACATCTTCCCAGATCCGGGTCAACCCTCACACTCCTCATCATGGTCTGTCATCTTTGGATGTCTCATCGCGAGCGAACTGCGGCAGCTGCCTGATGAGCATGGGAACCCCAGAACGGCCATCGACTCAGCGTGTCCGTCGGTCCGTGCCTTCATTCCATCGTGCAAGCGCGAATGTGGCCCTTTGTTCGCTCCCAAACATGTTGTTGTTTTCATTTGTTTCTGGTTGGCCAAAAATCAATCTCAAATCCCTTTAAGAGCAACGACCCTGTGGCAAACATGAAGGCAAAGTATGCAGCTATAGGTGATTCATCAAATCGACACTGCCACAAATCCCTGGGCCTAGGAACTCCATCACATCTCCGGGTTTCCACTTGTACCTGGAATGGTCCAATCAAAACAAACAAATGCTGTTGGCAACGATCAAGGTTTCATGCCGCTGTGGAGTTATCGGTTATCACGGTCTTGTGAACCCTTCTACTTGACACCAAGTTCCGAACTTCAAGCCTCAAAGGTTCTGACCATTTTGACCACGTGCTACCACAAGCTTGACAGCTATCTAGTGTCTACTCGTGCTCAAGAAAAACATGTTAAGCACTTATGCATGTGCTGCACGCAACTTCGCGCACTTTGGGTCGCGAAGCTTCTCTCGACCACCACAGGGCAAAGGGTCCTCATCAGGCACTTTCCTTGGAGCTGCTTGGAGCAACACGGGAAACATGGCTTGCCTGGCTTGCAAAGAAAAGAACACAAAAAAAGGGGTCAGTTTGGGCTCGCCTTTGCTTGCCTGGGTCAATATTAAATTGACCGTTTGGGGGGCCACCGACGTCCACCTCATGAGAGCTTGCGGCGAGTCATGGGAGCTTCGATCGAAGCGAGTCATGGCTGATTCGATCGACGACCCCACTGCTCATTGGCATCCGGCGACGTGACGAGCCAAACAAGTAAAGACTGGTAAAGCAAGAAAGATGGGATCCTGTATCATACAAGATGTACCAGTTCTTTTCGACTTGAAGCCAGGGCCAGCTTTACAAAATGGTCTTAGTTCCTTTGGCAAAAATGAAAAGTATCCTATGCAGCCAGGCCTTCGAGAAATCAAATGGGATGACTAGCCAAGCAGCTTCTTTCCAGGTGGGGGGCAAAGCTCCCAGAGTGCGCGCGTTTTCTTGCCTCGCTTCGTCCGTTCGTTGGCTTCGGACCGGAACCCGGGTCGTTCTGGACCGTCCTCCGGTCCGTCGGCTGTGCGGTTCCACGTGTGGAAGGACAGGCTGCGTTCATTGAAGAAAGAAACACGGAGTGAGACGTGTAAGTGTTCTATACTATGTTTAATGATAACGATAATGGTGTTTTACTACAAGACTTACAAGAGAAACTCTTGAAAACAAATCCGAGCCAAAGCAAGCCACTGGGCAAAAACAAGCAATATAGTCATGATGCGATCCTTTTGGGGCGGAATCATGTAAAGCTTTCATGTAAAGCTTCGCGCGACCCAAACAAGGAAGGTGGACGGTCCAGCACTGTTTCGGCGCTTTCGGTCTCCGGCAGCGACGCGACTTTAGCGATGGCGGAAGGTGCCTGCTGTTGGACAGTCCCACTGCTGGCGAGTCAATGTGTTCGTTGGTTGACCACTAGACTCAGGTGAGTATTCTGACCAACGCTTTTTGCAGGTCGCTGCAATTCTCAAAGGCACACTCCCCAATGTGTGTCACTGAGTCTGGAATGGTCAATTTGGCCAACGGGTCGCATTGCTGGAAGGCTCTAGGGGCAATTTGAGGTTCATTGTCCAAGATGTTGACCACCAACAGCATGTCAAATTCAATATCACTACTAAAGCTGTAAATGGCACACTTGTTTGCTGGAGCATCTCACCATATGCGGCAACAGCAAATAACATTGGCAACAGCAGCTGCGGTCTTCGCCCAGTTGAGCTCGCAACGTCTCATCATTGCCCAACAGTTGGTCAAGAGACAACGAATCTCCACCCCGGTGTTTTCGTGACCTACGAACGGGACGCTACGAACGGGTCCTGGCCGTACTACTAGGAACGATGTTTGCTATTAGAAACCAATAAATAGAATTATACTCCTAGTATAGAATTAAAATTGCCAATCTTTGATCCGCCACTTGAGCTCTCTCTCTCTCTCTCTCGGTTGCCTCAGGTGTTACTTCAAGGCAACTTGCCGAAAACCGTTCACCTGCAATACCGAAATTATCATCGCCATGGCCAAGTTCGGGCATAACACCAAAGAGTTTGGTTGCTCCTGATGTCCATGTTCTCGTTTGAACGGATTTCCGTTCAAAAAATCCTAGTTGGGGCCATGCACTTGGGATCCACACAGATGAAAACCTGCAAAAAGGTGGTGAACCTGGATGACCCAGTACAGGTGGTGCGCATCTTTCCCCGCCTCCCTGGACCTTCAAGCTGGGAATGCTTTTGGTGACAGCACTTCACGGATTCTCTAGCTCGAATCTCCACAAATGGGCGAACCAAACACCTATCTATTGGACACCACGTTCAACAAGCCGTGATTTGTCCATGAACAGTACTTCCCAGATCTTCCAAGCTCCAAAAGCAAAGAATGACCACTTCCAAGCTCCATTTGTGGGCACTGCCCGGACTCGATTGTTGCAAACCCAGAGTTGCCAAGTGGGGAAATAAAGACAAACACAGAACCAGCTCAACACACAGGATGCAGGAACACTCATGAGCCAGCACTTACCCTCCCGAACACTTGCATGAACCCTGACAATGGGTCCCTGGAAGATTGTTCTACCAACCAGTGGTTTTCAGGACCATGTTAGTCTTCAAGGGGGTATGGGCCAAAGCCAAGAGGCCCAAACTGTTGCGCTGCGAGATGTCGTCGGGGTAGGACTTCAAACAGGCATTCATCTCTTCCTCTCCTCTCTTGATCTTGACCTGCACAACAGACAGGTTCCTTCATAAATCTTCTTAACATGTCATCACCGGCGCACAACAGACAAGCACCAGAATCAATGCGCCACACGCGTGACCCGCCCTCGATCGGCCTTCAAGCCGCTCTTGGCCACTTGGGCGATCTCTTTCGGAAACTTGGCATACCAAAAGCTCTCCGTCTCAATCGACTGTGCCTGCCGACGACCACTTTTTCGGGCACAGACGAATGAGGCACAGTGTCACTTTTCGAGAGTTCAGCAGCGAAAATGTATGTCCTGAATGCCAAGTCTTTCGTTCATGGTGTCCAATGCAAGCAAAACGAAGCCCTCTGTCTCTACTAGAGGTTTCAGCCCTTTGGGGACCCACCCTCGCTTTTCTTGAAGCCATTGGCGCCATGGCCCCTCTCCCCCCAAGCTGGTGTCTTGAGGTCCACCGAACAAGGTCCTAGATACACACAGCTTTTCTGTTTGGCATGATTCCGGTCGATGGGTCTTCTTGATCTATGAGCTTCTACAGAAACATCCAAACAAATTCGGCCTACCCGACCTTATCAACACGATCAATATATGTTGTTTATATATATATATATCACCTTTCACATCTGTTCATCTCTAGGCCGGGCTGGCTTCTCCGCACACCTCTCTCTCTCTCTGTGTGTGTGTGTCCATCCCTTTCGCGCCTCATCGTCGCCCATCTCCTTCTTCTTCACGATCTTCTCCTGAAAATAGGCTCGCTGGGTCAACAGCCACACCAGCTCATCGTTGTGGACCATGAACAATACCCACCCAAGTAGGGTGTTGGGATGCTGGTTGGTGACCAACTGTCACCAACCGTTCAAACGGATTCTTGTTTTCGATTCTTTCCATAGGGGTACTTTCCTACCCCACTGAACCTCGTGGCATCCCTCACCATCCCCGGGTTCCACGTATCATCGGATCGCGCCTTCGCTCCATCCAGCATCTCTTGCGTGATGTCACTCGGCTCGAACCTGGGATTGGAGATCTTGTGAGTTTCTTGAGAACATTTAAAGCACCTACAAGCCTTGGTTGATGAGCTTCGTTTCCTAGTTTCATCTTCCTGGTTCGGTGTATGTCTGCGGCCCCACGCGCGGTGCCGTGATGTGCCGTGTGCTCTTTTGACACCACCATCCCGTCGGATGTCCCGGTCGGTTCGCATGTCAGGACGGTTCTTCCCACAACTCGTGATGAATACACACCACCCCTTTGAATTGGACGAATCCTCTTTATATGGGGATGACATGTAATCAAGAGTCTACATCGTCTACATCGTCTACATGGCCTCCGGAACCGCTGACGGACTGGGACTGCAGATCACCCGAATCGGGAAGAGCCGTTGAGTCATCTTGAGTCAGTGAGCCAAGCCATCTTGCAGTCAGACCGAAAGAAAGAGACGGATCACCAAACCATCCAGAAAGCGCGTGGCGCGTCCAAATGCAGATCTGAGCGGCAACTTTCGGATGAAGTTCACATTGTGCTGCAGTTTGTTAACATCTTCCAGAGTCTCCTTCTGGTACCGAAAGCATTTACCTCACGCAAAGACACTGATAACCCTCCTGCTCCTTGGTACTGTCTCGGCGTCTCGCCTTACACGAGATCTGAAGTCTGACATACATCTGTCGCCCTGCATGGATAGAATTGACCTCCAATCTCCACTTGTTCATGGACCAAGTCTTCCCACATTAAGGTGCGACTGCAACTCTAAAGCAACCAACTGCTGATAAATATGGTGGAAAAAGTTACCATGGTTCGGGAGCAGTTTGTGTGGTCAACAAAAAATGTGTCGATTTCCCTGCTAACTGGTGTTGAGGGTTGTGGCATCTGCTGCGAACCTAGCGATCCAGTCAACCACTCCAAAAGTGAACGTAAGTATATAACACTCTGCGTGTGAGCTTCACACAGGTGCAGGGATAAATCTCAGGGCCTGTGCTCAAGGAGGGCCTATGCGCTCCTTCCGGCCCTTCTCACCCAAACCCTGCACAAACTTGGCTGAGCTGCAGTCCAGGTCTGGCTTCGGGTTGTCGTCCCCGGCCATGCCTGGCATTCCTGGTAGTCCGGGCCCCATTCCAGGCAGTCCAGGTCCCATTCCAGGTAGTTCTGGCCCTGCGGTTCCTGGCAGCTCCTGAAGCGCGAGACGCCTTTCCATGCGCCTTTCCACGTCGAGGAAAATACACATGAAAGTGGTTCAATTGCCCTTGGGAGAACGAGAATCGGCTACAAACAAACAAGCAAATATGGTCATGTCCATGTTAAGTCAGTCGGAGTGTACACTTCTGGTTACTGGTCACACACCAAACTCAATCAATCTCGTGTATCCTCTTGAAACCGGGTGCTTGCTTGTAGGATGCTCGTAGGACATTGCTGCAATGCTGCAATGCTCCTCTCCTTCATCAGGTTCAGAGTAGATAGCCTAGATAGGTGAAACCACAACACTATCATCATTGGATGAGGATTCATGTGAACTACCTTTGATGTATACGTGCGTGTATGTGTATATATATATATATCATATATCTGTTATCAACGTGAAACTGTGCATCTCCACATCCGCTCAGAACTCTTGGAGTCTCCTGAAAGCTGCTGGGATGGAGGCGCGACGCATGTGCCATCTGCACGGCACCAATCCTTGGGGCCTCCAGGGCATCATGCCCAAGCCTTGGAGGAAAAAGAAGAGAAGTCGCTGCAAGTAGCGATGGCCTCCAACTTACTTGCGATGGCCTCCTCCGAACATCACGTCCTTGTTACTAGAAGATAACCCAAAGCATCCGAAACGACCTGAATCCCAAGCCAAGCGTATCACAGGATGCCAGTGGACGTCCCAAGCCAAGGGTTGCTACTCACCATGCTTCCTTCCATGTCAATCATCCCAAACCGGGACTTCCCTCGTTGAGAAAATAGAAAACACCCATGTCATGTCTTGAGACTCCCTGAATGGATCTGAATGGTATCTATATACATGGCTGTAGCCGAAGTCATGGACTGTCGACGAATTCATGGACTGAAACAACTGCAAAGAGAGAAATCAACAGGTTTCAACACCCATCAATCTTAGGATTGGATTGAAGCAAAAGGACGCCGATGTTGTTTCATCATCACTACACCATAGGTGGCACTCCACTGAGCAGTGGGGTTTCGTTCAGGCTACTATGTGGGCCATATCGAGGTGTCACGAGGCTGCGAGGTGATGTGGGCTACCACGTGGACCCGTCGCTGCATCGGAAGGTACATACAAATCGTGCAAGAGAAGAGCCTATACTATAGACTAGCTATTGTTTCCATGAAGGAATGCTCACCACCCCCAAGTTTTTCTCTTGAAAAACGTCTCCTCCACATGCGTAAAAACCCTCGTCGTTCACTCCACTGGCTACGTCGTACACTCACCGGCTCGGTGGCTCCGGCGAACCCGGTCGGCGAAGCCGGTCGGCGAACCCGGTGGGACCGCTGGGACCGGGCAGGACGAGGTCTCGGGTGACCACCTCGGTCTCCAAGAGGCCATAGCCCGGGCATGGCAGTCGCTAGGCGCACAGGTGCCAGTCGGAGCGTTCATGTGAGGTGTGGCCGGCCACTCCCAAGTGCTTTACAGTTGTCACTGAGCTTTAGTCTGCAAACCGAACGGAACAGCAAAGGACCCTGCAGGGTGAACACACAACAGAGGGCAGACCGAGAACGCGGTTCAATGTATGGAACTTATAATAGCTGAAATATATGTTTTGAGTTGTTCACGAAGTAGTGGCCACGAATGTCCTAGTAGCCATTCCAAATCCTTCAAAAACGGTTCTGCCACTGTTGCTGTTGTCTAAGGCCATCAGCACTTGCAACCCCTTCACACAAAAGAGTCCCGACTACGACGCGCCCCACCTTTCTCAATCCTAATGTTGATGCTGGATTGTTTCTTGCACGGTCTATTTCATCTCCCCTGCTTGTTGGCATCTGTGTGGTTGTGGAGAATGCGAACGCTGGGTCATCACTTGAGCCTGGGAAAGGACCGCCGCTTAAAACAACTCTAAATCGGATTGCGTAGGCGCCCCCAAGCAATTGGAGCAATCCTGACGAGAATGTCAATCAATCTGAGACGTTCTCACAGACTCTGAGACGTTCTCACAGACTCCCATGCCGCTTCGCAACAGAAGCCCAGCACAAGCGCCATGCGCCGCGCTTCCGCGCGAAGAGTCAGTACATTTTTGAACGATGCGGCCCATCCCTCCTTGCAGCGCTTCGTAGTGGAAGTCATCCTGCGGATGAGCAGCTCGTGCGCTCACGAACACGCGGACGACGAAACATCGACCCCTCGTGAATTCCATCGCAGAAAACCCGCCCGGCACCGCAGGCACCTTGGAGATCTAAACTCTTGTGGCTTCGATGCTTGAGTCCAACTTGACAATTGCAAAGCGGCACTGTTTGTATTGATTCTGAGGAACTTTCTGAGTACATAACGATTTCCACAAACGTGGAGAGAAACTTAAACATTTGACCTGATAAAAGGATCTTGGTTTTCCTTTCTATCATAATGTCCTTGTTTCACGAGCCAGCAATGGCGGAGTGGCATGTGAGCCAAAAGCTGTTTGACCTAGTTCACCAGTATGCTTCACTTCCGTGTTCAAAGCCTTTCGTGTATCATCAAACCGATCGTTTTTGTCATCTTCCGGTCGGGAAATCGGAAGAGCAGGTACTTCGTCTGGTCATAAGATCACTGAGATCACCCGACCGCGACCGTGGGAAGCGTGCGAGTCTTGACCGAATTGGACCTCTCCTCGGTGTCCCGGCAGGGCAGTTCCCGGGGCGTCCGTCCCGGTCCATCCCGTTCTCCAAATTGGTTAGAGGGAACGGAGGGGATGACCAACCAAGCGAAGAATGTGCTTGGCATGCTACAAACCGGTTACAACAACCATCCAACAAGAGCAGGTCGCTAGGACTTTGGAAAAATGTGATCCTGCACCTTGCGAAAAACGGGCAAACTCTGGCTGAACTGAATTCTGGAGTGGATCCTTATCAGCATCGCTGTGCAGGATGTTGTCCATTGACGTGTGAAATTGATGTGGCTCAGATTGTAACCTTCTCATGGTATGCCGGACATAGCATAACTTCTGTGATGTTGATAGCATGAAACAACTCATTACTGCACCCATAGTCTATAGTCAGGTCTCAAAGCCTTTCAGCATATCTGACGATTGTATGTAAGTGCTTAGCAGCCAAACTACGCGTCCTGCAGGTGTTGGTAAGCATCAAAGCTCAAGAGACGCGGATCCAGAGATGGTTTGCCCACGGCAAAGTGGTACAGCACCTGTGGGAAGCGTTCTTTGGATTCCACCACTTGTGACTTGTGCAGGTTCATCCCTGGATTGGTTTAGGGTGTGGGTCCATAAAACCCCAAATGCTAGAGGTTGCTCCGCCCTTCTGCACTGCAACCGAAAAAAGGTTAAAATGTGGAAGCACATAGCACTCCAGGTACTGGATCTCTCCCCATGGCCGGTCGAATACATCCCTTCTGGCCAGCCGCCGAACCTGGTTGCATTCTTGCCGGCTGGTTCCTCTTTTTGCAAGATCCAGCACCCTTGGAGATGTGCAAATCCTCGATCCTCTACCATCTCTGTATCCGTCAACCCCTATTGCATAGGGTTGTATGAGATGTGGTCAAAATATCGTCAATTAACTGTTTGCGTTCCTCTGTTCGTTCCATGTTCCTTTGCCCACGCACTGTATGTCTGACCTCCCAGCAACGCTATACAAATCCTTCCTTCAGATTCCCCCAGTTGTGCCCTCCTAGGCTGAAGACGATGTAGACGGAAGAAACACTGCGTGGTCTACCCCCGAACGTTGCATGCCCCCCAAGTAAATATTGAATCATGGTATATGATCCAACAAAACATCTTGGATGTTTTCATGTCTGGAGTCGATCCGTTATCAATCGAACACCGTTCGATTTAAATCTCTGGTCAACACCGTACTGCCTCCCCTATAGATGTTGGTCATTCAGATTCGACCCCCCAAATCGCCTGGACGTCATCAATTCACTCTTCGCCTGCCTGATACTTTGCTTCTTGGACGTCATAGCTCTGCGCATGGCTGTAGGCCTTGGAATCCATGCTCCAGGGTTCCCGAACCAACGCCAGCGTCATGTCACCCATGAAGCACCCCAGGCCTCAGTGCAGCGGCTTTCTGAACTACATGTGAAGCCCAAGAATGTGAGCACGTGGCACAGTTCAGAACGTCGCTTTGTTTGATACCAAAAGTCATAAGCATAGCTTGGTGCACTCTGGGGCGGTCCCTGAACCCACCTGGTGTGAACCTACTGTACAGACCAACAAAGGTTACCAGAAGACCTAGCAAGGACAATGGTCTGGGTAGCCAAAGAAAACGTCTCCATTGCCACACCATGTTCAACCTCTAAGAGTTGGATGTCCAATGATATCGCTAGCATTAAAAAGAAACAAATGAGAATACTGCCATCTGCTTTCATGTGGGCGGTCAAGGCACCGGTGGCACCGAAGCCTTCGGCTTCGGCCGCGAGGTAGAGCACATGACCCAAAGCACCGGCCTTCGAACGAATCGAAGGGTTCAAAGGTTTCAAACGGAGTCCAGAGAGGTCCAGAGAGGTCCAAATCATTTCAAGAACCTCCCACTCAACAACAGTCTTTGAACTCAATTGTCTAGTCACGTCTGGAGACGAAGTCTACCAAGCCTGGAAGGATGGAATAGTTGTTTTTACATATATATATATATATATATGTATGTATGTATGTGTATGTTTTTCTATCAAGTGCCAACGAAAGGTGCAGAAATCCAAGATGTCTCACCTGTCAAAACTTGAACAGCACCAGGTCTGATATAGCCCGGTACAGCTGTAGAAATGATACGTTCTTGTCATATTTTGGGCCTTGCTGCATCATCTGCACAATCACGATGTGAACATGTGTTTGCATCCAGAGTTGAAAGACTCTTGAGAGAACAATCCAGCCAGCCCAAAAATACAGTTGATGGACTACCCGGGATTGCACAAACCTTATGAATAATGAGATAACAAATCCATCAACTCAGTTAGATTTACAGCGCTACGGAAGCATGTGTTCACTTCAGGCATGATGCGTCAAACCATTTTCCAATGCCCTTGTGCTGTAAATGAATACGTTGCTGTCGATCACCCAAAGCTTCTCAGGGAGAGGACTGCATACGTTCACAAGCGCTGCGCTCGCCGCCTGCCACAGGAGCTCCGCATAGTTCCTGCAAGATTGAGCCCGACAAAGGCTCCGAAAAGCTGGGTTTGTCAAAATTACGCCAGCAAAGACCCCAGATAGTAAAAAGATATTTTTGGGCAGCAGCAGTAGCACCCTCAACAGCACCAGCACCCACGCTCCAAAGCGCACACTGCCATAGACATCTGAATCTAAAAGCAACACCCTACAGCGGCAGCAGCAGCAGCAGCACCAGCACCAGCACCCAAGCTCCAATGCACACACGGCCATGGAAATCTCGCAGCAGCACCGTGCAGCGGCACCCTGGCGGCACCAGCAACCAAGCTCCAAAATGCACACGGCCACGGACATTTTGCAGCAGCATCCCAAGCTCCAAAGCGAACACGGCCATGGAACCCTCGGCGGCAGCACTCACGCTGCAACGCGCACACAAGCATTTCTTCCTATACTTGAAGTAAGAACCCCAATAGCTTTCGACATGGAACATCTGCCCATAGCTTGATGATTGAACCGCCACCGTCTCGTCTGCATCTGTGTTGACTCGCTCCCCTAGTGAGCTGACAAATGATGCAGTGTGGCCCGAACCCTCACTATTCCCTTTTCCTGTTGCTTCGGACGTGGCCTTGGCCTCGGGGTTGGGATCAGCCTGGGAACTGTTTCCATCATTGCCTCCTTTTTGACCGTCGCTTCCTTTGTTCTGACCCCTACAGTTTCCACTATACCCTTTCAAACCACACTTGAAACGCGTCGTTTTTGACAAGTCCGTTTTACAAGCGGAACTGTCATGGTTCTTCTTTCCACATCTGCAACCACCAGCTGACACTTTTCTGAAAAGTCGTTTGCTTCGTCTTCAACGAAGAATTTCGAAAATGCTCCAAGTTCCACACGCGGCCTTTGTTGTCTTGCGTATTTGAATGCAGCATACTGCAGTGACTCCCAAGATTCACTCTCACTTTGCGCACCAACACATACTGCTTCGCTTCATGAGGGAGATTCCTGGTGCACAACAGCGCCAAATCTGAAGGCCCAATTCTCAAATCATTCCTTTCCACTTCAGGGAACGGGTTTCAATGAGTCTTTCCACTTTCTGACTGGAATCATGCGAACAAGGTCCGGCACAACATGAGCACTCTTAGGGTCTAGGCTGAAATCCCTTTGCAAGAGTTCAGCCCTCAAACAAATGGCGTCTATTCTCACAATAGCTCAAGCCCGTAAGAACAAAAAGGCTCAATTTACTAGGCCTTGCACGCTCGGATCAACGAATCGATCCCGGAATGTTATACCGCCACCCTCAGCAGCGCAAACAAACGAGCCCACCGCCCCTGCTGTCCAATTGTTAAGGTGCTCACAATCTCCGATCTCCATCGAATACCTTGCTGAATCTCTGTAGCCATCTTGCTTTGTCCGATGCTAACTGCGACCAAGCCCTCAAGCTTGTACGTAGCTGAAAAGTTCTCCGATCTCCGCCTCTCTGTTCACCAAGTTGACACCTTTGCTTCAGGTGGTTGTGATAACCATGCATTTCTCCGGTCTACTGGAAACGTCCCTATCCCCACTACAGTACTGGGGAGGACCAGGCATGGGGGCCCACTTTCAACCGCTATTTCAACGCCAGGAATGACCTCCTGAAATGCGGCTGTTGGTGCGTGCGCGTTGGAGCCATGACCTCCGAGCGCAAAACAACTGCACCAGTGCTTGCTGCAAGGTGCGACACGTGAAACTGCCACGCTGCATCAAAAGTCATGAACCTTCAATCTTACAAGCAAAGGCCTTGCTCACCATGACACAAACAACATATCCCCAATCCACAACATGGCTCCACCTCGTGCTAGGAGTCTAGGGGGAAGGTGGGTGGTGACCAAGCCTTGCGCAAAAATTGGATAGCAAAAGATATATGTGGGCAGCGCCTAGCAGCGGCACGAGGATGCAGGCTCGAAACCACGCACTGCCATAAGCATCTGGCAGCAGCAACTCGCAGCGAGACTTTGCAGCGCCCTCCAGTGGCACCAGCCCCGTGGCACGGCCGTAGACATCTGGCAGCAACACCTGGAGCGGGACTGGCCAGCATCCCCGAAGCGCACATGGCCATACACATCTCTCCAAAGCGCGCACGGCCATGAACATCTCGCAGCAGCAGCATCACCACCAGTGCCCAAGCTTCAAAGCGCACACACACACATATGGCAGCAGTGCCTGACAACGGCACCCTGCAGCGCACCCTGACAACTTTGAACTTGAAAATTGGATTCCCAAAGTAACGGTACTCAAACATGATGTTGCCCAACAGAATCTTCCAACCAAAACTTGCAAATCCTCCAAAGACTCCAAAGGCGCTCCATGATCCAACAACTCCTTCCCTCAGCCAACACCAATAAAAAAATACCGTCTGGCATCAGGCTTGGTTCGAAGTCGCTGGCCCTGAAGGATATGGATATGTTCTTTTCTGAATTCTTTGTGGTTTGCCCTATGTGTGTCCTGCGGTCCGGGGCTAGGAAGTTAGGAGGAATTAAAGCTTGATCAATAACATTTGTACATGTACATTGTCCTTGGGAAGCGGGAGCAAACAAACGCTGTGCGATCGATCGAGCAAGAAGAAACCTCATCCTTCTAAGTGCTCTGGGGAATGCCACAACAAAGAAGCCTCTCCTCCCAGCCATCCACATTCAGCTCCTGGGATGTGTCCAACCGTGGAAGTTTCCCAGCGCTGCTGCTGCAAATACGCCCTCACTTGCGACCTCCTGCCCACATGCGCTGATTTGCGCAGCGTGGCGGACATCCGCCTCAACCAATCCGAGGGGAGGCGGGCGGCGGGCGGAAGTGTGGACACGACGGCCGGACATGCAAAGGAGGAAGGGGGATGAATCGGGATGAAGTGATTAGTTGGTTTGGGCCACAATCACCATTGAGATGTCGGCTGAACACTATCGCGCGACATAATGCAATCATCTCATACCACTCCACAAGAAACGATGTACAATTTGGAGATGCGCCATCCAAAAGCCAATCCTGTTGGAAATCAGAGCTTGAACACAAACTGACCCCAAAACAACCTGAAGAGTCAACCCCACTTTCAGAAGAACGTGCAAACATCGTGTTGTCTCGTTTAGAGGGCTCTGCACACGGCCCCCAACTAGATAGACGCCGCAGCAAGCGCCAACCTACCAACCTCCTTGCCGCGACTTCTTTCTCCGATCAATCCCTATACATTCCCCCACTGAAACTTAGAATGCCTGGAAATCAAAAACAATGATGAAACTTGGCATGCCCCGTTTCAAAGTCCAGGGGACGTTGTGTTTTTGAACACTGTTTCTATAGCGCCACGATTAGTCATGGCATTATTTGTGAGGTGGAAGAGATAGAATGCCTGGACACGCGTGCATTCTAAGTTGCATCTGAACACCATCCAAATGTGTATAACTACAATATTTGGAAGCATTCTACCTTTCAGCGGGGTTGCAGTTTTAAAACTCACACCCAAGCTTCCATAGTTTGTGTCCATCAAAAGGGTTCTACACAGACGAACTGAAACATCAATGGTAGCAAACACAAGGGAGAGGACTTAACACGCCGTTTCGGATAGCATTTACAAATACCATGTGTTTTTGTTTTGACATCTACCAGACTCATGCAAATTTCTGATCTGGAGTAGCAATATAAGGCAGCGTGCAATGAGGAATCCGTTTATACACTGAATATTGCCATGTCCGATCATGGACAAAAGCAGTTATTGCTTCGTCACTTGAAAGATAGACAAAAAGCAATCGCTGGTTTGCTTAAATCATGAAATGAACACTGCTTTGGCATCCTGAGCTTTGCCACGCTTGTCCTTGGCGGTCCTGGCCCTGTGAGACCGCTCTAAGTATGCCTTGCGGTAGTTGGCCCAGTTGGCAATAGGTGACATGCCCTGCTCTCGCAGCTTTGTGTTGAGCTGCGTCAATGCCTGCTGGGTCATATAGTCGCCAGTCTTCCAGGCTTTGGCGACAGCCTGCCTTGTCCAAGGCTTGGGTTTCCTCCTTTGTGCACCGTGCCATGGCTGAACTGGGGAGCTGTCAGCACGTCGAAGTACTGCGATGAACTTTGAACTTGCAAGACGTCATCAAGCGGATTTGCAGCGCTGTAGTACCAGACAGCATCGCTGGTGGCAGGGTTTAACACGGGCACGACGGTGGACACGGACAAAATGGGCAGGATGGGAAAGCTAAGGAACACGAAGGTAACACACATGAAGGGAAATGGGCACACTTTGAATGGCACAGCGGCACAACTCGAAAGCACGCACATGAAAAGGTGGAAATGGGCTACTGGGAAAGCTGTCTACTTAGAATTGCTCACAACAACGAGACCCATGGAAACAAGGAACAAGGCAAGGGATAGAAAGGACAGGGAGGGGACGAGTGTTAAACGAGCCAGAGGATGGGAAGGGCAAGGAAAAAAGAACATGAGGAAAGTGGCTGGTGAAAGTTGCCCACTTCGAATGCCGCATGACACACAAAAACGTGAGAAACCGCATGATAGAAAGGCACAGGAGGGGAAGAGTAGAACAGGCAAGAGGTGGGAGGGAACGGGCGGGACAGATAGGAAAGGAAAGCAAAACAGAATGGACGGGAGAGGGAAGCACACCAGGAACAAAGAAAATATAGGCTCCGGCTTGGTGAGTGGAACCTCACACCGCTGGCCTCGAGAACCGGGAAGTTCGCGCAAGCTTCTGAACACTTAAAGTACTGTACTTGTACCTTGCCTCTCGTTGTTGTATCGATTGCATTTCCAGGCCCGTGACAGGCAAACAAACGAATCCTCTCAACAGGTCTGTGTCTTAAAATATCTCATTATTGCATCATATGATACATGAGCTGGTTGCAATCGTATAACTGATTACTCTTTCTCTTAGTCTCTTGGAAACTGTACATTTGGGACCAACTTATATCTCGCAATGCCTGCAGGTTCATAATCTGGGCCTCCTGAAAATGTACAACTTCAAGGGGTCGAAAAAGTGATTGTGTGATTATGCACCATAAACCTCACGATGCGCAAGATCCAGACAAGGCATAGACATGAACGCAGCATGAAGTGGATGAATTGGGTCTATCCCATTACCAGTAACAGTGGATGATGATGGTTAGTAAAGGCCTTACTCAAAATAGTGCCAGTTGTCTACTGACTGCTACAGGTATATAGTTTCATACAACTGGCAGACCCAATAGATTATAATCACTGTACTATTGGACTCTCTTGCATATGTTTTTGTTGCGTTTTGATTACTTGCAACTTGAAAGCATTATTGGCAATATATTGGATAAGAAGTCCAAGAAAGAGAAGGAGGAGAAAGACGACGAGCGTGGAAGGTCACACGGCAGAAGAAGGAAGTCTCCATCTCCGCCATCAGAAGGACGAGCTCGTCTGACAGCTCTGACAGCTTCTCTCAGATGGTCTACGAACTGTCGCACCGCTGGCTACCACTGGCCACCCTGGCTGCCGTGATCTCGCCGGTCACGCTGCCTTGTGCGTTACGCTGCTCGTTCTCCGATGCCTGGAGGGTGTTGTAGTAGTACATGCTGAACAGAATGCGAGGCGATGTACATTTGTTGGTGTGATGGAGGTCAGGTTTTGAAGCCGTCAGTCATGGTTACGGTGTAGGGGAGTACAGGAAGGCCCCTGCTTGCGAACACACCCAAGATGAACTTCCTCTGGCCCAGTAGCACGAGCCATACGCCATAGCTGGCAGCTACCCAAGGGAAGGTCGACTTTCTCCTTGGTCCATCATGATCCATCTACAGTGCAACTCAGGCATCATTGTGTCTTTCGCGCCGGAGGGAGGGCATCCATTTGAGGCCAACCAACAACCACCCCTCCGTGAAGCCTTCACACCAAGTCAGCCACGTAAGTCTAAGAGGCTCCTGAAATGTCGGAGAAGTCATCCAGCTGGCCACGCACCAGCAAATAGAGCCCGGGCTCGAAGCCTTCCTAGCCACGTGAACACGGATACTCGTAGCAGGGAATCAAACAAGAATGCATCTGTAGATCTACGAAGCTGAAAACACCGGAATTCGACGGGTCCAGCAACCTCTCGGAAATCAATTTTCAGCTGAGTCTCTTGGTCTGGGGTTGAGCCCTCTTCTCGCTTTAGACCAGTTCTTTTGAGGGTGCAGCTTCAGGATGCTTCAGGTGTCGCACTTCCCCAGCGATCCCAGTACGAATCAACAATTTGCCAGCGCGCCTGGGTCCTAGAGTTACTTGATCATCCAATCCACGAGAAAATGATTGATGCCTGGTACATACCTATTGAGAGGTTCTTTCAAAGCCCCGACGCGTTCGCATTCATGTTTTTGGAAGTGGCATGAAGTGGCCGAAAAACCATGGTAAAACGATGTAAAACGACGAAGTTCGGTCCTTCGGTCTCCCGTTCGCTCTCTACCTCCCGAGGCGAGGTCCCGACCGGTCGTCACGCGACGCACGACCCGTTCCGTGGCACCGAGCTTCAGTGGCTGGGCGGACAGGACGGGATAGAAGCTGGTGATAGTATGGGCTGGGTATCACATGTATAGTTGGTGATGAGGCATCTCGGATCTTGCCCAGGCATGATAAGATCTCTCTTCCTCTGTTTTTTTGGCCAAGAAGCTACACGATGTATCATCATCAGCAAGTGGACTTTCATCCTTCGGCCAGTTCCTGAGCACCCTGTCCCAGAAAAGAATACAAACAACAATGATTCACCGACCATGGCAGTGGAGTTGAGATTCTTTATGCAAAAAAAGTGGTTGCAATATGTTGCAATTGGGAGCAATGTTTGAGATCGGTGGTTTGGATGTCATCGATTCAAGTGAGTCTTCACAAGAAAAACGAACCTTGGAAGAATTCTGGCAGTTTCCGGCTCTTCGCCATAAAGCCCGCTGGAAAATAGACCCCGCTGGAAAGGAAGAGACTTGAATCATCCCACAGTTGGGGCAACCAGACTTCGCGTGATCGGACGATTTCTACCCAGTGGCTCACCACCCGTGGCTCCACGCTGCACTCGCAGGCTGCAGCCAGCACACGCGCGAAGGCCGCCTTGCCCAGCGCCTCGTCGCCGGCGAAGCGCAGCGCAGAGCGGCGCGCGAGGACGGCGCGGCGGAGGTCGGGAAAGCGCCGCAAACAAACGTCGGAGGAGCGGGGCTGTGCCTCGCGCCGGGAGGGTGGTTCGGGTGATTTTCTCAGATCCGGATTGGATGGACAGCGCAAAATACAGTAGGCTTCATGCACTCATGCACGTACACATAGCACCTGCTGACCAGGAAGAAAAGAATCTTCCAAGACCGGAAACAAAACTCTTAAAAATGGTTGGAAGAGATCCATCCATTCCTGCCGACCCGAGCTCGTCCTTGCCTCGCTCTGCTCTCCGTCCACCTCAGCGCGGTGCAGTTTCAGGGCCTCTTGTGCTGCATCCATCGCCTCCCAGCGTCGCGCGGCGGCGGGACCCAGCGGCGTGGGCTCCTCGAAGCGGCGAAGCATGGTGGAGAAGTGGACACGATGTCCACGTTTGATGGGGTGGATCCAGGACGAACATGGTGATGGTCCAAGTCTAGGGGTGGTTGATCTGTTTCAAACTGCTTGGGTTAGGCCGAATTGATTGGCATCCTCTTGCGAAACTACAAGAGACTATGCCTCCTATGATGTTGGATGTTGAAGAAATCCTGCACCGTAGATGTGGTAACATGTCCAAGTCTGGTCCAAAAATGTGTCATCTTCCGGATCTCGATGATCTCGATGATTGGATACACAATACAAAGCCAGCCTTGAATGTGATTGAACGTCCAGATGTCTGCTCCGTTGCCCGTTGCAACATCATCGTCAGACATCGTCGAGGTCTTTGGACGCAGCCGAGCCGCTCCAATACTCTGCACCTGAGCAGCAGAGTAGCTCAACGTCAAACCCAGCCTGGGTGGTGTTTTTTCATGCACTGTTTTTTCCAGACAGGGGGTCAAATGGGAAATTCCGTCTATCAAATGTTTGGTAGGTGACTCATATTTGAGTCATGACTGACTGTTATCACAAAAAACAGAAAGAATGCCACCGTTTCCTCCAAGGGGGTCGGAAACACATGAATTTGTCTTGGAGGTTCATCGTTGAAGAAGGAACTCCTGTACCTAGATCTCTTGAGGCCTCAACTCTTGCAAGATTTCTTCCATCAACTCGAACACTATCCTAGGGGTATAGTCTAGACATGTCTAGGCCTCACCCATGAGCTGCACTTCATCCTCCATGCTCAGCCTCGGCACCTGCTGATAGCTGGCCATGACCTCCTCCACTTGCAGCTCCAGCGGCCCGGCACCCGGCCCAGCGCCCGGCCCGGCGCCCGGCGCGCGCACGCGGAGACAAAGCTCCGGAGACTCGTCGGGCAAATCCACGAAGCTTTGGAGGAGCTCGTGAATGGCCAAGACTGAAGGGCCTGGTCGGAACAGGATCGAAGAGTGCTGAGAAAAACTGAATATGGGTTGAACAGAATCGATGTCTCTGACACACCGCAGTCCCAGGTTCATTCGCTTTGCAAGTTAGTGGCCGAGTGTCGAGTCTCTTGTGGCCAAGGAAGGATCCTGCCAGGCCGGCCCACCGACTCCAAGTCAGCCTCGGCCCTCATGCAAACTGCCATGTGCACTTGGAGCACTTGCGTGCTTCAACTCGATCAGTTACAGAATAATACGGGGGTATCTTAAGGCGACCCCCTCTCAGAGCCCCCTGGAAAAATTTACAGTACATGCAAAAATATTGCAAAATTAGTAGGTAAGCACTTGATGGGTAGTAAATGGCCCGCACTACCTTGCTAACAAGAAACCATTCCAGTTTATATTCCAGTGAGATGACCCCTGGAATACTTTTAAGGCCGTCACGTTCGGTACCAAATTCACCTAGCCCCCCAGCCATCCACAGACTGGACGGACAGAGTTCACACCAATCCGCAGATCCACCGAATGGTTGGAGAATATTGACAGTCCAACGGTGCCTTGACTCATCTGCTTTCGTACTAGGAGCGATCGGACGCTACTAGTAGCTCCTGGCCTTACTACTACGAGCAAGGACGCTACTAGGAGCAAAGGGCATCGCTACGAACGGAGCAAGGACGCTACTAGCCCTCCTCATCCCGCCTTCTTCCAGCGTCCATCCATGAAGCTCGCAGGAGGCACCCAAGGCAGCCAGCTGGTGCCCCAGGTTTAAGTGACAGGAGCGCAAGGCACGCTCTCCGTATTTCCATGCCTCGCGCACCTCAGGGCGCCGCCCACGATGTGCGCACGGAAACCGTTCATCTTCCAGACACAGGCTGACAATCACAGAGAACGAAAAGAGAAGAGTATCAGAGAGGATTTACCCCAAGCAGGGGTTAGGAACCTTACGAACTGCTTCGCCTTGATCTCTATAGGGGTTCCTTAAGTCTGCTATTGTGTAACGAGCTCCTTCTCTGCCTGAACGTTCCAGGGCCTGTGTCAGGCAGTGAGTGGGACAAGAAAACCATAAAATCATAATACAAAATCCACCACAATCCTGGTGCCTTCATCTCCGCCGACGAGTAAGCCTCTGTTTGAAAGACCTCTGAAACAAGCAAATAGGTGCTACACCAGGACACTGGCACTAGCCCAAAGACCTGAAAAGGTTCATTTAGTCTAGTTTAGTCTACTTGGTGGAAGGGAATCTATATAATTGTTCACACCAACTCCTCCTTTCTCCAGGTCACGCACACGCTGCTCAAGACCACCAGAAAGCCGCCCTCCACCAACCTCTGCAGCACGGAAGACCGAAACACCTCCGTCACCAACCACCCACTTCCTTCTTTGCTGCTAGAACCGTGTCCCATGCTCAGATGGTTTGAGGAAGATGGTGTTCCTCGGTTCGTGGCCGTCACTGGTCACAGGGCTCCATCCCCGAAGTCGCGGATCACCCGAAGACGGCCTGCCGTCTTAGGGGCACTTCTCCCATCCCTGGTTCCGTTGGCCAAGCAAATTGGACCAACACAGGAACCATCCGACTTCGACAATCTCCCATCCGACTTCGTATGTCTCCCGCAGGGTCAGTGCAATTTCACAGACCATCACAGACCCAGGTACTCCTGCAAAGCCTGCCGCCGTAGCTCAAGGGAGTGCTGCTCGGGTTGGTAGTGGTACCTTCAAATCTGCCGACTTCGCGCACGCCCGGTCATCGAATTAGATAGCAACCAACTACAGTAAGGGATCCATGTTGAGTGGAGACCCCCACAGCGGAACTGGTCTCAGACATCGTCTTGTTCTGCCTTTGAGTAGGACTGTCCACTGCTTTGGTGCATGCGATAGCTTTCCCGCTGTCTTCTTAGCCCTCAGCCCTGAGTCCTCAGCCCTGAGCCCTCAGCCCTCCTCAATTGATGTCGAAACCGGCGGCTTCACTTCCATAGTGGTGGTTTCCTGAAAAACCCTGGGTTTTCCCATCCGAACATTCAGTGATATATATATTTATTCAATCCACTGCCAACCTCCACCACCAACCCTTTGAACCACCATAATTGGCGGCCGCGCTCAGGCAGGTCCACACAGCTTGCTAGAGGGAAAAATCAGGCAGGAAGATAAGTTATATATATATATATAGATTTCCATGACTTATATAATGTTATACATACAGGAAATGTATGATATAATGTATAGAATATACAATGTCATGACGTTATATATTGTATTTATGATATAATGTGTATATATATATATGATACCACTTCGTACCCATGCCAGCACGGCCGCGCCCTTTTCATG